CCTATGGGCATCCACGGCCTGTTACAGGGATAGCTTTACTTAACCTCACCGCCATCTGTGAGCCGATTGTCTAGAAAATGTGGGAGTCTCGACGTCTTACGAACCTATGGGCCTCTACAGCCTATTACAGAGAGAGCTTTTTTACCTTTTCACTTGTTCATATATTACTTGTTATTTATTTCATTATTTACTTAATATATTTATTCACTTATTTTGTTATTTATATATTGTTACAATAATTTACTTCTCTGTTTATCCATTTCCTTACTTTTCTATTTCTTATTAATTTTATGCATATTTTTCATGTATCCAATTACTTATCATGTGCTTTCACGTGAATATATTAATTTATTCTTTAGTTTATTTATTGTAGTGATTAGTCATTGGTTTATTTATCAATGTTTCTATTTCCTTATCTTTATATTCAATATTAGAAAGCGCAAAACAACGATTCGATGTTACGCTATGCGTGATACGCAGCCGAAACGGCGTCGTTTTATAGCCTATGTCGAAAGAGATGCACCTCGATAGTGTCTGTGTTTCATGTACGTACGCCGCCTCATGCCCCCGGTATCTTTCGTTTGGACATTATAAATTACGTTACCATGGAAACATACCGACCCAATCTTATCTTACCGTCTCTCAAAGGTTACAGTTTGACGGTCCACTCACATAAAGTAAACGTTACCATGGAGACGTTCTGACAGGTGAAGGTTCCTTCAGATAGCAAGAAACTTGATCAGAGACCAGAGCTGATATGCGATCTGACAAAGGGCGTTTCCTTTCTACAGTACGGTATGGCCACTCCTAACAGTGCTTCATAAAACAATATGAAGTGTGATATTTCCTTACCAATGCTTCTCGGAATCAGTTTCCTATATACATGTAATATGCCTCATACAGTGGCAGGGAGAAGTGTTGGTAACAACGTAAAATTATACTAGATGAAAAACCAATAAAACGCCCTTTATATATGTAGTTAGTTTATTTTAAAAACGAAGCTATAATATGAAAAACAGAGCCCAAACACAAAACATAGAGCTAAAGCATATAACCGTCCAGGTCTACCCGACCTGATGCTTGGGCGACGTTAGCTGAGGTGTGGATGGTTAAGGATAGGTAACTCAGCTGGTAAAGATTCGATTCTGTCTCGCATTAAGGGGGAAATACCCCGGCCATACACCATACGGCGAGTCACAATGATTCACTTTGTAGATAAATGTATTTACTTTACTTCTCCAGTTCATACACTTTTTTTTTTAATTCGAATATTTGGGGGTGGAGTCCAATTGGGTCCACTCGGCACGGCGGCCACTGATTGGTCTATTGTATCTGTCCTGGGTGATTATGATGATGGAAAATTTGGTGGAATGAATATTGGCAGGGGAAACCGAAGTACTCGGGGAAGACCTGTCCCAGCGCCACTTTGTCCACAACAAATCCCACTTGACAAGACCCGGGATTGAACCAGGGCCGCCGCGGCGGAAAGCCAGCCACTAACCGCTTGAGCTATGGCGCGGCCCTCTAAGTTCGTACACTTAACACTGAGCTACTTAATTCGCAGAAGCGCGGGACGAAGCGTAATGGTGTGCTCGATTTCAGTTTAGCCACTGCTGGCATTTATTTATTATAACGAATTTCCGAAGTCGCGGAACACGTCCCTTGTCCGCTGAAGTTGAAACACAAAGCAACCCCGAGATGACTCGTACCTGCAAGCAGTGGCGTGTGACA